AAAAAAAAAAAAAAAAAAAGCCAAACCATTTAATTTTTTCAGAGCACTTAAATGATTTTCATTTCATAGGATATTTAATTTCTCTCTAAAGCATGGTATAACAGTAACTTTTTGTTCTCCTTTAAAGTAGTGTCCTTTAATAAAATAAGTAATGAAAGAAAATCTTTGCAGTACTGTCAGTGTAACCTATTCTTGTTCCCTTATAACCCATTATCATCTAGCTGACACATATTTGGTTGGATAGATTATTTGGTGCTCAACCAGTGAAAGTGGGTTTTCTCAGGGCACACCAGTCATATGTACTTTTACACAAGTGAATAATTTTTTACTGAAATCGGGTCAAATTTAGTTATGCTTAAAATGTTGACAACTACTGGCTACATACTTCCCTAGACCGATTGTAACACGAGTCTTATTGATCAATCGTTCCAGGATCCACGAGAAATACATCACTAGTATATAAATGGTTAACAGGCCACATGATCTGTCATTTCTGGATAGTATTTGTTTGTGTGTGCACTTTGAGATTTTATTCTTTTCAGTATTATTTATTCATCGCTATGGCAACAGGAAGTTGTGTAAATGACCCAAACATATTCTGTTATATATATGATAAATTTGTTGTAAAGAAACAAAGGCAAAACATCACAGAATTAATCAAACTCAGGGACCGAGACAAATCATGGGCTATGCACAAAGTTTGCACCATTTGTGTCAAAGAGTTGAGAAAATAGATTAAAGGTAAGAAAAGTCTTTGCCTTTTGGAATTCCAATGGTCTAGCAAGAGTGGAAGCCATAGAGATGACTGCTTTTTTGCTCATGTAATGTGCAAGGCTATAAACATGAGATTTCTTACCTAAACCTTCAATCTGCTATAAGACCTATTGCTAATGGACCTGATGCACCTGTACCTACTACACCGGAGACTCTTGTTACAGTTTCATCTGATGTCAATAAAAGTGATGATAACAGTTGTTTTCAACCTGAAATGTTTGGTGAACCACAACTTTTCACACAAGGTCAATTTAATGATTTGGTGAGAGATTTGGGCCTTCCAAAGTATTCTTCAGAGATTTTGGGGTCCAGACTTTGGGCTAAGAACTTACTTTCTCCACGGACAACATTTTGCTGATACAGAAATCATGTGAAAGAGTTTATATCATATTTTGCACAAAAATGTTCATTGCTGAATTAATACCAATGCTAGGAGCTGCAGTCTATGAACCAAGTGAGTGGCAATTGTTCATTGATTCCTCCAAAAGAAGTCTAAAAGGTGTTTTCCTTCACAATGGTAACATATATGCATCTGTTCCTATTGCTCATTCAGTTCATTTGAAGGAAATGTACGAAAATCTCGAACTTATTTTTAATAAAGTCAAATACAAAGAACGTGAGTGGCTACTTTGTAAAGACTTAAAAGTTCTTTGTATGTTGTTGGGTCAATAATCCAATTATACATACAAAGTTTCCATGTTTTTGTGTGAATAGGACAGCAGAGTATGAAATCAGTACTGGATAAAGAAGCAATGGTCACGCAGAGTCAGCCTGATACCAGGATCGAAAAACATTGAACGCAAAGTTTGGTTGACACAAAGAAAGTCCTATGACCTCCTCTTCACATAAAATTGGGCTTGATGAAGCCGTTTGTAAAGGCCTTAGACAAAGATGGTGACTGTTTCAAGTATGTATGTGGGCAATTCCCAGCTCTTTCAGAAATGAAACTTAAAGAAGGGATTTTTGCTGGGCCTCAGACTAGGAAATTGACTTTGGATGAACAGGTTGAAAGAACAATGAGGAAAGTTGAAAAAGAAATGTGAATTGCCTTTAACGATGTTACTCATAAATTTTTAGGAAACAACAAGGACCCAAATTACAAAAAATATTGTCAATAACATGCTTGATAAATTCCAAAAGTTGGGTTGTAATAAGAGCTTGAAAGTTTCATTCTTACACATATATATTGACTATTTCCCTCTAAGT